AGTCAGTGTAAAAGGAGATCTGGGAGACAGAAGAAGCATTCCATTTGAAGAGCGGATCTTCCTATAGCACAGTCCTAATATTGTCACCGTCCTGCCTTAAAACCTCTCATGACTTTTCTTTAAGATCTGGTTTCCTTTTCTAGTCTTAGGCCTAAGCCTACAGTTCATTTTTTCACTGCCAACTCATTTCTCAGTACTGTCTCCACACAGACCTGTGCCACAGTTGAGGTATTCCCCTTCCATTCCTGCTCTCCTCCCAACCTGTCCTCATGTAACAATTATTTTCTAGGGCTTTCTGTGTGCAACACACAAGGCTACACTGTGAGACAAACAAGAACATTTTGAAAATGACGTGGGAAATGACATTAAGAGAGAATGTATACTCTCCACACGCTTTCCAAAGATTTCTCTATGATAACAGATAAGCCAGGCAGGCCGGTGCGTGGACACAGATAAGCAAACCCTGCAGGATCAGAAACATTATGGCAGAGAGCTGTCAGAATTCCCGGAAGAGTTATTCAACCAAACCCGGGTGGAGGCATCAGGGAAGCCTTCCTGGAGAAGGTAGCCACAGAGCTGAACCTTTAAGATGAGAAGGGGTTTGTAAGACATATGAGGTTGTAGCAATGAGGAGAGGGAGAAAAGGCAATTCTTCAGGGGGTGGGAACAGCATGTGCAAAACTCAGAGGCTAAACTTGGCAAGTTGTACCAGGGGCAGGGTGTCATTCCCATAGATTGCCTGCACACAGCGCCCTGGCATCCTGCCACTTGGCAAATCTGTGGGAAGAGGATGCAGTGGGTCTGTGGGAATGAGAGCAGACTGGCATGTCTTCACAGGGCTCAGCAGATTGGCCGAGAAGTTAAGGGAGATGTGAGAGGTAAGAGGGTGGGGTGGCGGATTGTATAGGACAGCTCCTGTGACGCCGTGTCTCTCATGGTGACCCCTCACCTTCAAACCTAACCAGGTGTGAAGGAAGCATTCATGAACGGAGTGGTGCTCATCATGCTGTCACGGTCACACACCGCTGTCAGAAGATGAAGTCAGTGTCCCCTCACTTTCTACACATACATGCATAACAATGTTGAGAAATTTTCTTGTTTGCTGGCTGCCAACTGTTCTCAACGTGACACTTGTTTCAATCCCTTTAATCCTCAGAGTATCCCTACAACACAAACAGGCACCGTGGCTGGACAGATGCATGTACACACACATACATGCAAGAACCTCCATTGTAAAGATGTGAGATTGAGGTGGAGATTGAGGTGAGGGGATGGATCCCTGAGCTTGCAAGCACTGGAACTGGATATCAATTGCTTGCCAGTTAGCTCCAGAGCCCACACTCTCACTCTGACCCTACCCTGTCCCTATATGCTGAATTGGGGCAGTGTAGTGCATTTTAGTGCTTGTATTTCAGGCATGTCTGCTATGTGTTTAGTATAAATCATAGATTAAAATAAAGGAATTTGTGGAAAATTACCCTATCTTAGACACTACTTTAAAACTGCCTGTGAGTAACAGGAAGGAGCTAGCCTGTTTCCTATAGAAATTTTATCACCTGCTACAGGCCCAGCACCTTGTTCAGGGCTTCACATGTTGGGACTATGTACAAGAGCCTCAGCAGAGGGAGTGAGACTGGGTGGAAAGCAAAGGGGGCAGGCATGAGGCCCAGGCCATTGCGATGCTGCTTTCAGGGTCTCTGATGTTAGTGATGGACCAGCACATTTGGTTCCAGAATGGTTGATTCCCTGTCGCCTGAAGGGTCCACTCAGGAAGAAGCCATAAGGAGGCCCTGGGCTGACAGATCATGTTTCATAACTTTTGTGTGCCATACCACCCACTCAGCAGGGCATGGCACTGATTTCCAGCTCATCACAAGCTCCAATTGGAGATTATACAATGACTTTGATTAATAAAGGATGAGGGAATGAATGTATATTTGCCTAATAAGCGCAACTTGGTAGACAAGAATTTTCCAAACCTATGACCACAGCGGGGGGAAAGTCAAAAATGGGATTCTTGGTGGAGTGATTTCCTCCAGTTTAATAAACATTTTCTGAATACTGACCACGGGCTCCTAGGTACTCATACTTATTGCGTGCTAGTATATGTCATCTCTTTATTAAGATTTATTTATTTGTCTGGAAAGCAAAATAATGAGGGCGAATATCTATCTGCTATACCACTCCCCCAGTGCCCAGATAGCTAAGTCTGGGCCAGGCTGAAGCCAGGAGCCAGGAACTCCTCAGGGTCTCCCATGTGGGTAGCAAGGACCTACACACGTTGATAATTACCCACTACCACCCAAGGACATCAGCTGGAAGCTGGCTAGGAAGCAAAGTGACTGGGACTTAAAGCAGCACTCCAGTATGGGGTGCAGGTGTCCCAAGCAGTTAAACCTGATGCGTCACAACACTTGCCGCCTCACATAGAACATCTTTATTCTCACAGCAATTACTTTAAAGGTGGAAGGAGGGACAGATGTTGTGGTACAGCATGTTAAGCCACCCTTGGATACTCACATTCCACATCAGAGTGCTGGTTCCCTTGCTAGTCACTCTGCTTCCCATCCTGTTTCCTGATAACATACCTGGGAATACAGCACATAATGGCTCAAGTACTTGGGTCCCTGCCACCCATGTGGGAGATCCAGAGGGAGTCTTTGGCTTCTGACGTTAGCTGCTATCAGCATCTGGGGAGTGACGCAACAGATGGAATCTCTCTCTCTCTCTGTAATAAATAAATCTTTTAAAGAGGTTGTGGCAGGAGTGGGAAACAGTGGTGGAGCAGGATGTGGCGCGATAGAATAGTGGTTAAGGTCCTCGCCTTGAATGCGCCAAGATCCCATATGGGCGCCGGCTCTAATGCTGGCTGCCCTGCTTCCCATCCAGCTCCCTGCTTGTGACCTGGGAAAGCAGTCGAGGATGGCCCAAAGCCTTGAGACCCTGCACCCACGTGGGAGACCCGGAAAGAAGTTCCTGGCTCCTGGCTTCAAATTGGCGCAGCACCAGCCATTGTGCTCACCTGGGGAGTGAATCATCGGACGGAAGATCTTCTTCTCTGTCTCTCCTCCTCTCTGTACATCTGCCTTTCCAATAAAAATAAATAAATCTTTAAAAAAAAAAAAGAGAGTGGTGGGGCAGACAGTTTACAGATGCGGAACTGGAAATAATATCCCCTAAGATCATGCAGTTAGTAGGCAGCTAGGCTATGACGCACACCCTAATTCTGTTGAACTCCAGAGCTCATTCTCAATGCACACTGTACCGAGAATGTCCAGTGTGCCTTTATGTGGAAGACAGAGATAACTGCAAATAAGAGGGTCTTCAGAGAGTTCACTGAAGATGTACATTATGGGGGAAAATTGTGCAGTTTTTTTGCACCAAAATGAGATTCTCCTTTCATTCCATTTTCCATGAACTCTTTGAAGTACCATCCTACAGTAGAGCAAATGTTATATGAGACCTGCAGACAAAGGCACATTGCAGAGAGGAATGCTCAATACTGAGCTGGTAAGTGGTGTCAGAGAATGCTCTCCCAGTGAATTGGGAATACTGGCTTGGGTACTCAAAAGATGGACCACAGTCTGAATTTTTCAATTAAAAAAAATGCAGACTATATTGGGAGAAGTCACTCAGAAATTGTTTGGTCACAGATCCTTGATGCTTCCATTTTGCTTACTGAATTTCTAAAATGAACCAGCCAGATGGCATATGCTGCAGCTCCATGTTGCCATGCATGGTTAAGATCAGGGTTTGATACACAGAGACATGGAGCTTGCAAACTCCTGTGAGGTGTAGTGGTGGCAAACTGAGTGGTCTCTGGTATGTGGACATTGTTTTCCTCCCTATCCACAGTGGTCTGAATCACTGCCTTGCTAGTGCCCTGCCAGATCTTACCATGACCTGTCTGGGATACATTTTGCTTCTAGTTGAGTCTCTTAGAAAAAAACAAAAAAACTGGATGGTACGGTTCTTCTCTAGGAATCAAAGCAGGAGGAAGCGAGCAGCCTTGCTGTGCACTGGAGACAGACTGTCTTGTATTGTATACTTTTATATGTCTGTGCTTATGTTGCCCTCTTGTAGACGATGTGCTGCACATGTTGGAAAGTCATCACAGAGAAGACTACAAAGCATGAGAGCTCAGAGCTCCAGTCCCAGACCATCGCCAGCTCCTTCTGAAGAGCCTGGCTTTGCAGACAGGACCAAGACAGCTGCCACTTTAGCACTCTGATAGGGTAGACACTTGGAGTCAGACCTGCCGACTTTCTGTATCTTGGGGCTCCCAGAATGTTAGCATCCAAGAAGGACAGAGTGTTCTCACCTGCAACTATCGGAGCCTACGATGTTAGCTCCCTAGAATACGCTTGTTCAGTGAATAGGGTTCTGGGTTCTGGAGTTCAAGACGGGACTGAGACTTCCAAGGGTCTCATTTCCAGGGAGGTTACAGACAGTGTGAGATGGGTTCTCAGAGGAGTAAAAGCATGAGCATGTTGAAACTTCAGAATGCCAAAGGTGGCAGAGAGTTCTGGGTGGTTTTCTGCCTGTAGTTTTGTCTACCTGTGGTGAGCTCAGAGCCAAGTCCAAGCAGGTGAGATGAGAACCTCATTGACAGGAACATCATTTCAGTTCAGCGACCTCACAGCTTGCAGGGGCCCAGGACTCGCTAGAGGAGCTCAGAGGAGGGCAGCTGTTGGATGGTGAGCATAGCCCAGCCAGGGATAGAGGACAGACAGTCAGGAAGGCTCGCTAGTTGCTCTCTGCCAGCAGAGCCCACTTCTGCAACCAGGCCAGCCCTTCCGAAGGAGTTCAAACCAACTTTTTCTGTGGAGGTTTCACTCCGGCCTGTGGACCCACGTGTGCAGTAGATTGTCCAGTGTTGGGGGTCTCCCCATACCCTACCCCTGACAATACGTGTTTTATTTTACCCCTTCCCTCTCTGTGTCCCTGAAAATCAATTTTCATTTTTTTTTTCTGTCTGTGTTTGTCTTTGTGGTTCGCAGGTGCTCCCTTGCATTGTTCGTCTGCTTCATCAACCCCTATTGAGCAGTCCCCCTCCCCGCCCCCCTCCCCTCCGGCCAATGAGAGCCAGAGGCGGTTGCTAGGCAACGGTGTGGCCCAGCCAACCCCGGACTCAGACTCTGAGGAAGAGTTTGTCCCTAATTCATTCTTAGTTAAAAGTGGCTCCGCCAGCCTGGGGGTCGCAACGAACGGTAAGTCCCTCTCTCTTTTTCTAACTTTTGGCATTTGCTGTGCATTTCCTGTCCGGCCGCTGGGAAGGGAAGAGGGGCTCCGGCCGAGGCAGGTCCGTGGAGCAATCTGGGGACTGCACCACCACCCCTGCCGCGCGCCCCCCAGGGTATGTGTGTCGGGGGAGGGCAGGGGAGGCTGCTTCTCTCTGCAGCCGCCAAGAGTGACCAGGTTGCAGGCAGGTGCAAGCACCAAGGGAGGTGCTCTGACAGACCTGAAAGGGAGCAACAAGTGGAGACCAAGAAAGGCAAAGGTAGAGACAAAGTTCGTACGGGAAAGAATAAAATCAGACCTGGATGCGGTTACCCCAGTGGCCACTCTCTGTGCCGGGCACTGTCACTTGTGGCTTGCCTGGCACTTCCTCACAGCCCTGTCCGTCTGTCCAGCCTTGCAGTCCCCTGTTAGCAGGGACAGAGCCTGCCTGAGATCCGGTACACGACCTGGAGACCCAAGTCCCAGACAGAAAGGTCTGCCGTAACACAGACAGCCCTAGGTTTCAACCTGGATCTGCCAGAACAAGCTTTCTGCTGCTGGGTTCTGCCCCAGCTTTCTAAGCACGGGGTTGGGGGGAGGCAGATGATGGTGGAAGAGCTCCTGGAAGGCAGCCCGTGCTGTTAGACCCACGCCAGGGGCTTGCCCTCTGGTTAGGAAGGGGTTTGGGTCTGGAGGATGGGGGAGGTGTCTGGTGTGGACTGGGTAACCTGGGATCCCCGAGACAGCCCCTTGATTCCTGATTAGGAGGGAGGAAGTGAAACTGCTTTCCTGCAAATTACACTGTACATTCATGTGACGTTCATTTAATTGAAAGTGCCTGTGCTGTGTGAAATTCTAGGCTGAGGTCTGGTGAGAAGGAAGGTTGCAAGGAGGCAGGAGTGAGAATCTGTGGGCTGGAGGTAAATGGAAGCTGGAATGCCATGGACTGGGACAAGCCTCGCTGTTCCTCTGGGTGTAAGGCAGGCAGCCCACTTGGTGCCTGCAACAGGAGAGTTTAGCAAAATGTTAAGTCATTGCCGGGTTCCCTGTACCTCTCAGGTGAGTGTTCAGAGAGTTTGTGTGAAAGCTGCTAGCACCTCGTTTGATGCCTGGGTATGGTGGGAGCAGATCCCGGGGCATTACTAAGGGAGTGCTGGCTGGACCTGAAGGAAGATGTCAGGGAGCTGACCTAGGGCATTCACCAACCAGGACATCCTGCTCAGAGATGGGGGAGGGAGCAGAGGAGTCAGCTCAGGTCCTTTATACCTGGGAGCCTTGGAGGGCCCTGTGAGTTGGTACTGAGTGTCCCCCTTGCTCCCTGCCTCAAGGGACCTCTCCTTCACATCCAGAACCTCTTGCTGGCTTTGTGTTTCTCTACCAACAGGACTTTAGGTCGGCCATCTCCAGAACTCCAGTCTTTCCTTCCAGCTCCCTGCAGGGAGGGGGGAGATGATGGGGGGGGGGGGATGCAGCAACTCAAGCCTTGAAGGGGGAAGAGAATACATACATACACAGGCAGCACATATATATGATAATAGTCTTTGTTCATTTGTTCTTTTCTGAGCAAATAAGCCTTTTGGGCAAAAGAAAAGGCAGGAGATTAAAGTCCTTAATCTCTCCCTTTGCTAATTAACTGAACAAGAGCAATCGCTTTGTTGCAAGTTCTGGGGCGAGCCAATGGGGCTATTGCATTACTGATGTGCAGTGGCCACAGGGGCACTTTGTCCGCCCCCCCCCCCCCAGCCTCCCTCCCCTGCCTGCCTGTCTGCTCACTCCTGATGCTGTGTGCTACACACACACACACACCCCTACTCTGGCGGGTCAGGGGGTGGTGGCTGAGACACTCTAGAGGCTTCCTTGGGGCTTTGTTGAGAGTGTCATTGTAAGGGTTGGTGATAAATGGGCCCCAGGCCTGAAGCAGGGAGAGACTGCATCCTTGCTCCTCTGCTGTTGAGTTTGTTAGAAGCCTTGTGATTCTCATTCCATAGCTGGATCCTGCCTGCCTTCCTCCTGTCCCCAGAAATCCCAAAACAAGGGGTCTTCTGTGACCCACAGGCTCTGCTGGAACTGGCACAGACCTAATAGCAGCTAGTGAGGATGAGTGAACCCTACTAGCTCCCAGGTCCAATAATCATTTGTAGTTTCCTTTGATGCTTATTTAAAAAAAAAAAACTTGGGAAAATATTTTTACTGTGATGGTGTTTCTTGCTTTTGCTAATTATAAAAGTGGCGATATTTGTTTGCATTCATATACTTCTAAAGGGTAAAATATGAGGTTATCTTGTCCTCACTCTCCATCTCTAAGATAACCACTTTTTACATTTGGTACATGGTCCTCCACTATTAATTTTGTTTTCAGTGAGTGAGTGAATAATGCAAACTGCTTGAGGGTCATGGTGTGGAAGAGATTTCAAAGGTGGACGCACATGAAAGTAGGTCCTAGAGGTGCATCCTGGGCAAGGTGCCTAACCAGTCTGATCATCTGTGACCCCATCTGTGGAATGGGAAAACTTCCCAAGGTTCTTAGGGAGCTGTAAGGTGAGAAAATTGGGGCCAGCCTTGGGTCTAGCCCAGGAGATGCCTGAATCCCACACCCAGATGTGTAGGTTTCATTCCTACCTCAAGCTCTGGCCTCCAGCTTCCTGCTAATGCATACCCTGCCTGGGAGGCAGAGGGTGATGGGTCAACCCAAATGGCATCCACCCATCTTTGGCATTTGGGGAGTGAACTAGGAGAGCATTCTTTCTACCTCTAGAATTATTAATTTCAAGAACAACAAAGCTGGTAAACATCCCTATCTCCACACCTCCATCCCCCCTCCAGCAGTTTAGGAATTAGAGACCACTACCACTAGATCAAATGCTTTAGGGCCGTTTCCCCTGCCCCTTAATTGGGAACCTCTTTTAAAAGACAAAGGGCATTGCTCAGTCTCTCCCAGGTGAGGAGAAGTGGTTTCCTGGGGTTTCCAAAGCCTGAACCAGCTTCCCCAGGCATTGGGACTAAGCTCACTACACTCCCCACAGCTCCCCAAGAGACCCTGAGCTCACAGCTGTGTCAATTCCAGCCACTTTCACCCTGGAAGTGGTGGTGGTGCTGCTGCTGCCATCTCAAATCCTCCAGGCCTCAGAACTACCCCAGGAAAATCCCCATGTAAAGGGCAGAGTGTGCTTGCAGGGAGAAAAAAAAACAGGGCAAGGAGCAAATCCTGCACACCAAGGGTTAGCCTCCAGAAATCACTGATGCACACAAAGGAAAAGTTGACTGAAATATCAAGGGTCTGGGCTGAAGAGCTAGGGAAGTGGTTAGGATGAAGTATGCCCTTGACCCCACCCCCTAGAAACTCTGCAGAAGAAATGGTGACTGTTTCATGGATCGCTGTCTTCGGAAGAGACTTTCCAGACTGGTGGCGGGGGGGCGGGGGGGTATGTAATGTTCCAGAAGGCCTAGGGACAAAGAGCTGCCACGAGGCTGTGGGTTTCTCTAAGCCTAGGTGTCATGGGGGTGTGCACAGGAGTTTCCCCTTCATTGCACCTAAACCTTTTTGCTGTCTCATTTGAGTGGTTTCACTGGCACCATTTTACTGTCTAGGAAACTGAGGCCATCTGCATTGCAGTGGCTTGCCCAGCTCTTCTCTTTGTTGTTGTTGTGGAGTTTTTATCTTCACTTTATTTGAAAGGCAGAACGCCAGAGTTCCCATCCCATTCCTCCAGGGCCTATACTAGCCAGGGCTGGCTCAGACCAAAGCCAGGAGCCCACACTTCCACCCAGGTTTCCCATGTGGCAGACAAGGGTCTTTGACCCTTACCTGTTGCCTCCTGGGATGAACCCGAGTGTGAAGTGCAGCCAGGACACAAACCCAGGCACTCTGATGTGAGATGAAGGATCCCAGGTGGAACCTTGATCTCTGCCCCACCCAAGGGTCCCAACACTCTTAAAAAAGTATACAGTACCAAGGTGGCGTGGTAGGATTGCGATGCAGCCACCGGTGGCACTGACATCCCATATGGGTGAAGGTTCAGGCCCCAGTTCCTCCATTTTTTATTTAGCTCCAAGCTGATATGCCTGAGAAAGCAGCAAAAGATGGCCCAAATCCTTGAGTCCCTTCACTGATGTGGAAGACCTAGATGAAGCTCATGGCTTTGACCTGGTCCAGCCCTGGCCATTATGGTCATTTGTGGAATAATCCACAGATGGAAGATTCCTGTCTCTCTCTCTATAACTCTGCCTTTCAAATAATTAAGCTTTTTTTTTTTAATTAAAAGAGTGGGGAAGACAGGTAAAAGCCCAAGCTTAACCTTAGAATCCCTGTATTGCTTCTTTTTCTTTCTTTCTTTCTTTCTTTTTTTTTTTTTTTTTTTTTTGTTTTGCTTCCAATTATGGCTTGTGTCACTTCTGTCTCTTACCTAGGAGGCTGGAAAGGATGGGAGGAAGTCTAAAGGAGCAGGGGGATCAGCAGGATTCCTGTCCCGCACCCCAGTTTTTCATGGAGCGTCCCTCTCAGGAGAGGCGCTGCATCTCATGGGCTCCCTGGTTCTGCTTCTCTGTCCTGTGACTTGGCTCAGAAAGGTTCCCAGCTTCCTCTGCAGCACAGAGTGGAATAGCCAGCCCTACAACATGCACTCTCTCCCTTGTGCTTTTGTGAGGCCTGTAAGGACTCTCAAGGATGAAGTACAGTAGAAAACTCAAACATTAAGTTGTGTTGTAGCTTCCTCAGAGGCAAGCCCTGGCCGTCCTCACCCCGTCCCCATCCTCCACCCCCACCCCTGTGCTCTGCTTGCCTGGCCTTAGAGAAGTATTGCATGGATCAGCATCCTGGGGCTTGGCTGTTTCCTTGGCTTTCTCAGGTCTGGAGCAGCTGGGATTATTTTGCTTTGACTAGCAACCCAATGGAGGAGTGTTTGTTTGTCTTTCTAAATGGGAAGCTTTGCTGTGTATGCAAGCTCCTGCTGCAAGGGCTCACTTACAACCAAGAATTCAGCTTCAGTTAAGA